ATCTCAAATCCACGACATTGCTGTTATCACCATCACCCTTAACAAGATATGCCAGCTCACAATTTGCTATGGAGGGAATGTGAGAAATCATCAGACAATGTTGCTGCACGTTTGGCAATGATTCCACTAGTCCAGGAGGCTAGAGGACTTGATGCTGGACCACGTTTGGTGCAAAAATTAGTTGGCTTTGGAGATAATAGGACATTGTAATACCCCAAATTTTACCCTTATATTTAGTCAGTCATTTTGCATAGCATCTCATATGTACATTTGCTAACCACTAACAAGTCATGAAGTGAGTTTGCTTTTCAGGAATCATTCCAAGGGCGTTTTGGTCATTTTTACGTTGGTTCTGATGGATTCTGAAAAAGTGGTCTTTAGTTCTTGAGGCATTCAAATCACCATACCTGAAACAGTTTTTTATCATCAAAGGCGTCAACCCGATTTGAATATTGTTGAAAAAGTTGTTAGAAACATATTTGAATTTGGGTCGTTCGTTGCTTATGGTTTGTTTTAAGATATTCTGAGCAGTTTTCCGTTCGTTGATAAAGTGCAGTTTTGGATAAAAAATAAGTGAGAGTTAGTTTGAATCTATTCAGATCTAATCAGGTTGCGACGAGATCATGGAAGGAATAATCAATTGGGATGAAAGTGTGTGGGATCTTGCTCATAATATTGTTCCATACAAAAGAGAGGTGAATTGGAATATTTGTTGAGTTAATCCATAAATATTTGTAATTTACAAATAAAGAAGTGAATTTAAATATTTTTGAATTTTATTCATGAATATTTATAATTTACAACTAAGAAGTGAATTTGGACAGGCTTGAATTTTTATTCACAAAGATTCATAATTTACAAAGTACATTTTATCCTAAAAATTCTAAGGCCTTCATGCCATTCCTTTGAGTTCTGCATACAACTTCTGATCAACCTGCACATCAAAAGAGAACAGACAGTACAGAAAAATGTTAGAAGTTTTTTTGACACTCTCAGAACAATGTCATCATCGAGTGCCGGGAGTGGCACAACCGAAGCTGCGTCCTACCCCCGTTACCGATCCGCGCCGTGGGCGTCAGATCAGGTAATACATGTTCTTATCAATATGGGACATCCGAGAGATAGAAAAATAAATGAAGTGGGACTGATTCGTTTTGCCGCGATTGGATTTCCAAACTGATATGAGAGTAAGGCAGCATAGTCAAGCGGGATTCAGACCCGGATGCCGGCAGGTCTAAATCACTTGGTGCTCATTTTTTTCCAAACCTGAAATTCCACAACAGCATCAGCACAAATTGATGACAGAAACTCAGAAACAAGATAGCTCATAAGCTGCCATGAGTAAATGGAAATTCAAATTGAAAATGCACAACCAAAAGCAGCATCAGTTCTGCAACACATAGGCAAGTTCATGAAGAACCCAGTTCAAACAGAACAAGTAGAGTGAAATGAAGCCAAGGCTGCATCAAATCGCAACAAGCTGCACAAAATTGGAGCAGACAACTCAATCCCTAAAACAGATCAGGTTCATAAAAAAGAAGAAGAACCAGCCATATCAGAAAGCAAATCAGAGTCATCATGAATGCCTGAAAACCAACAATCAAGTCAGTTCATAAAACCATAACAGAAAGCAAGATAGGTTCAATATCATCACGCATCAGCACAGAGTAAACACCGACCAAATGTGCAGGCCACATTGGAAAAGCAAAGCACCAAACAGGGGCTCAGTTATGAACATCATCGCCCCAACAAACAAAGTCACCAAAAACAAGTTATCAAAACCATACTCGGTCCATAAAACAAACAAATACATGGCTCAGTTCATCGACATCATAGCCAATCATCATCACCAATTCAATCAGAAGCAGCAATATGATCAGAAGCTAGGACGTAGTATCTTGCTCCATCAGGCTCAGAACAAGGTCATCATTGCCGTATACCTTCCTCAGCAGCGTTTGACGCGATCGAAACCATAGTACCCATCCTGAAAAAAGAAGAGGAAAAATAAGTGAATTCTAGCCGATAACCAAACTGAACGAAACAAGTCCATCAAAACCAAACCAGTTCAGATATCAGAATCCAAAGCAATGTCCAAATGAAATCAAAACAGATCAGTTCGGGTTATCAAACAAATCGAATAGGGTTAAGTGACGTTCAATCAAGGAATTCTGAAAAGAGAAAGATCCGAATATCATCAGAAAAATGAAAACCCAATTCGATCCAATCAAGGAAACGAAGAAACTGGATATCCACAAATCAAGACAAAGCCGTTCAGTTATCAAAATCAAATGAAAATCTGGGCAAATCCATAACCAAGAATAGGGAATCCTGAAAAAGGAAAGTTCAAATCAAATGAGATCAAATATATCAGAAAAAACGAAGCCCAATCTCACCAAAATCCCAATCAAATCTGTAAAGAGGAAACAGGATATATCAGTATCAGAAAAATCCAGGAAGTTGCAAAATCCAATCCGAATCACAAATTCGAACTCGAGATATATCAGAATGCAAATCAAAACGAACTGAAAATCCTGAGTTTGAAAAGGGAAAGAATCCCAAGTGGATTCAATCAAATAATTCTGAAATCAAATCAAATCAATTTGTATCAGAAATCACAAAAATAAAACGCAAATCCAACAACATCCCAGGCCCAAAAAGAGAAGATATAAAGGGACGATCTCACCTCAGAGAAAACCCTAACGGACCAATCGCGAACAAACCCTAGGCGGCGCAAACAAGGAGAACAGCCGAGACTCAGAGGAACCAATATCCTCGTCATCGTCTTCGTAAGAAAGAGGAACGAAGATCGCAAACCCTAGTGACCGCGCGATTGAAGAGAAGAAGAGGAACAACGAAACCCTCGCGCAAAGCTCCCGTGATCACCGCGACTGCCTTCACCGACGGCGGGTAATCAAAGGCGATCACCGTCTGGCCTCAGACAAGGAGTTATCACCGACCATTGAAACCTCAGAGACTCACCGTAAAATCATCATCGTTCAAAAACGTAAGCGACGAGTGCATCGCCTTTCACATTTGACGGTTTAAGTTTGTGTGTTTTCAGGTTTTTAGGGAACCAGATCGCAGCAAAACGAAGCAAAGGAGATGAAGAGAGTGGATCGGCGCCGTTCGAAAGGAGATTGGGGGTCTCAAACCCTAAGTCTCAATATTTCTGATTGCCACGATTGGGGTTGGGTCCGGGTTGATCACCGGCCCAATTCCTCTTTATTCTTTTTTTTTATTTTACAATTTTTTCTTATTATATTTTAATTTTATTATTTAAATCTTATTAGGATATTTATTTAAAAATAAAATAAAATAAAGCTTTTAATTAAATTAAACTTTTTTCTTTTTTTTATAATAATAAATAAAAACCTTTTTTTTTTATTTTTTTTTTATTTTTAAAATAAATAACTTAAAATCTCTTTTTTTAAAATAAAAATTAAAACTTTTTCTTAATACAAATTAAAACCTTTTTTTAAGGTTAAAATTAAAGTATTTTTTAAAAACTAACATTGTTCTTTCTTTTATAAATTAAATTAAATTTTTTTTTTTTTTCAAAACAATAAAAACTCTAAATTTACATCTTTTTCTGCACTATCTCATTATCCATTGTATTTATGCCTAACCCTACTAACATCCTCTTGTTTTCTGTTGTTCAACTGATTGTTTTAAATTCGTTTATCATTGATTAAATTTTTCATCATCATATTGTATCTGCTCCTATCATGTAACCTCGCGAATCTAATAATCGCGCTTTAAATTTCTGCCTTTAAATTCCTGTTTGTATGGTTTTAATTTCTGTCATTATTCTCTGTTTGCAATTCAATCATCTCACGCATTTATCAATATTCCAGTCACACTACACACATCCGAAGGTTAGGTCTAGCTTTTGGCCGCCGCGCCAATAGTCCTCAATTTCAAACCCTCAAAACTACAACCTTACAAACCCTAATTTTTCATAAATGTCTCGCCGCAGACAAAGTTACCATTTTACCCCTAGCATTAGGTCAAAGAGCCGCCGCGCTCATTTTAGGGTTTCCCGCCGTGGAATCCCTAATTTAACCCTAATTCACTTAACAATTTACAACGTAGATATTGGAGTTTCTACACTCCGCGTAAGCGTGTCCCTAAGATACGTTTATTCCCCATTGAGACCTTGACCACAGTCAAGAAGTCTCTAACCTCCCTTTTGAGGGGAACTACGATTACTCTGATTCCACTCCCGTAAGGATACGTAGGCACAAGATGCGATGTCTTGCCGAGTAAACTTAGGATTAACCCCTTAGGTCTCTTTTCTCACTTTTAATCCTTATGTACATATACCTTAAGCAAATAAATAAAGCAAAATAGTAAACATCTGAACAAAAGGTTCCTGTAGAGTACTACAGAAGTTTAGGGTGCTAATACCTTCCCTAATCTTAACCAACCCCCGAACCTTAGATCTCTCCCCTTTAGGTTTTTCCTTTCTTTAACCTTTCCTTCGGATAAATCAAAGACCGGTTGTAAATGAATTAAGATTCAAGTTAATCAATAGCTTGACATCCAAATTTCACCGCAACAGACATCTAAAATTGTGGCTAGAATTGCTGAAGAGGAAGTTGCACATGTAGCAGTGGGGCTTTGCTGGTTTCTTTCTATCTATCAAAAATGAACCGCACCCCAAACTCCACTTTTAAAGACTTGCTCAAAGGACACCATCAACTCTTACCCAAAAGATTGTTGCTACCGAACTAAAGAATACCAGCCTCGCACCAGTCCGCATTCAAAACTGTTTCGGCATTTTTCCTGCGCGCCATGATACTACCTGTAAACAACAGCATGTGGATTACGTACGCAAGGCAAAGATTAAAATGCAACACGAGAGGAAGACACAAATTCAGAAAAGGGAAAGAATAATCAAATGCTAGCGAATATTACGTACCGCGGAAAGCACCGTGCAACTTACGGCATACCACGACCTGAAAAGTTTCAAATCACAACAACAAACACATAGAATCATCATGAACAACGAAACCATGTTGGTTCAACTTTGCATAAATGCAGCTTGCAAAACCACACAAACCATTGACAAATGGAGCTTACAGAGACGCTCTCTCGATCGCTTACCTTCTCATCTCGCTGACGCTCTCCTCCGCCGCCTCATCACTCGCCGTCTCCTCCATCCCTCCCTCCTCGCGGTTTTCAAACACAGTGCGGAAGAGATTGATTTGAAAGGCGATAACTCTGTTGATGCAGAATGGATGGCGTATTTAGGAGCATTTCGCCATTTGCGCTATTTGAACATTGCTGAGTGTCACCGAATCAATTCTTCAGCTCTTTGGCCTACTGCAGGAATGAATAGTCTTAAAGAGTTGGATCTATCTAGATGCTCGAAAGTTAATGATGCTGGAATTAATCATATAATTTCCATTCCTAATTTGGAAAAGTTGCACATTTCGAAAACCAGTGTTACTGCCAAAGGAATCAAGCTTCTTGCATCTCTTAAACTCTTGTCGCATCTTGACTTGGGTGGTTTGCCGGTAGATGATGAGGCTTTAGCTTCGTTACAGGTACTGGAAAATCTATAACACATTGAACTCTGGGGCAGCAAAGTATCAAACGAAGGTGCTGCCCTTCTTAATATGTTCCTCAAGTTAACCCGTCTAAATCTTGATTGGACCAACGTCACAAAATTGCCTAATTTATCAACTCTTGAGTGCCTCAACATGAGTAATTGTACTATTGACTCTATTCTCAAAGATGATAAATCTCCTTTGACAAAGGTTATTTTCTCCGGGTCTAAATTCCTGAATGAAGCTGAAACCCTATTCACAGCCTTGACTTTCTAGACCCACGATACGACGTCCTTTCCGTAACCACTACGCAACTTGCCTTCAATTTTGTTACATTAAAATCTGCTACATCTGCAACCGACAAAATCAGGGCAGTGAGAAGGAATAAAGGAAAAAAAGAAACAAAAGCACAAACCAAAACACTACAACAAGACAAAACCTGCTATCAATAGCCCACACACCAGCCTGCTGCAAACCGTACCTGCACCAATACCACACCACATAATAACCTGCAGCATCATGACAACAAACTTGCAACTAACACAAATCCCATACCAGACAATACCTGCTATTACTGTTCCAGCCCTTGCACAACAGCATCACTGCTACTACTTCCCAACAAAACACATCCTCCACACCAGACAACTCTGCGACAATACAGCCTGCCCCCTGCTACACTAGGTCGTACAAACCTGCAACCTGTAGTGAAAACCAAACCAACCAGCAATATAACACAAACTTAATCTTCATTGGTGGGGGAGACATGAAGAACCACACTTTCATTCCTCCTCTGGATCAAAACCTGCTACCAATTTTTCCCCACAACGATTCAACCAACAACACAAAGCCCAGAACAAAACCATCAACCGTTGAATCTCTCCATCTCTAACTCTCAAAACTCAAAACACAAAGAAACCCAGTTACCAAGTTCTGAAAATCAACACAAAAACCACAATCCCAGACTATCAATTTCAAACCTTCAACAAAATCAATCTTCAAATCAGAACCTGTACCTGAAGTTGTTGAGATGGAACCGAGAAATCCACAACAATCGTCGTGTTCATGGTGATCATTCTAGAGAAACTCATGTTCATCACCTAGCAGAAATGAACACTACCACTCAAGCATCTTTCAGTCCCATTTCCCGCAACACAAGCAACAAGCTCTCCAACCCTACAACAACACGAGTTGTAACACAAATGCACTACCTCAGGCTCGACAACTACACGACGCTTCTGACGGGCCCTTCGGTTATGTACAACCACAACAGTCACGGTAACATTTCGAACTTAATTTATCCATCTTGGTTCTGCCACTACAATATCAGCTTGATCTTGCTGTAATGTTAGTTTGAGTCATACACAAGGATTCAATAACTCAAAACCTTCACCTCCTCAATAAACTTCTGAAACACTCAGCAGCATTCATCATAAATCTCGAACCAGAAAAAACACCAAACCGCGAATCCCCAATCTTCAGCTTTAAGCTTCACCATCTTCGCCTAACTTGCAATTCCATAAATCTTCTCTGAATCCTCCATGAATCGAACATCAACAACCTCCCAAATCAACAACAGCATCCACTCCAAAACTCACATCCAAAACGCCTCAATCATCTCGCCTTCAAAAAACCTTTCCAATACAATCCGCGACACCGCCATTTCCGTCATCTTCTCCGACCCAGAGAAAAAACTCGCGACCCCTTCACAAACCCACTAAATCATCTCAACCCAATTCCAAACCGAAACCCATTCCCAATTTGATTTCAAAAACCGAAAACTGAGAGGGATGAAGGTGAGTCAGAATGGAAAGAAGATTTGATAACGGAACCATAAAGAGGGAGGATAAAATAAGAGCATGGTGAACTTGCATCGTGATGAAATCTGAATCAAACCAGGTTCGAAGTGAGAGGAGGTTGAGTTCCGAGTTGTTCTTGTTTCCTCCGTTTTTTAATTTAATTTGCTTTCGTTAAAAAGATAAAGAAGAAGAAACGAATCATGTGGATGGAGTGAGGGGCATGGGTCACCGCACGGAGTGGGCTTTTCTCCGAAGGCCTATTTTGGTTACAAATCACATCCTTGGCTTTCTGATACACCCCTTTGATTATTCCAGGCAATGTTTTATGGGTGATGGGATAACAAGCCCAAATGATTTTTCTTTTTCCCATATTCATTACCCCTTCACGTTTTCAATACCCCCTGTTTATATTATTATTTTAAGTTTTTTTTTTATATATAGATTCTATTTTAGAGCTTTACACATATTATATTAAGTTTTATTTTAGAAGTTTTATAAAGTGTTAGAATATTTTATATTTTATATTAGAATTTACAACCTTTTCATTTCTGAAGTTGATTTCCATTTTTCATTTGTTATTGGGTACTTTGTCCCATTTTCTGTTTTCGGTTGATGACGAGACTTCCGTAATTCATTACCAGTCAAATTATTGATAAGTAATGTTGGATCTGAGACCACCTCTTTTCTCTCCTCGCTTCTTGTCCCAACTCGATTCAAAAACATTGTCAAGCCATCTTCAAAATCCATTTATCTTTGTATTGAATTAAAAGAGGGGATTAAGTGTAGACTTTCTTCCTCTCCGAGTGCCGAGATGCCCACTGTAGTGAGGGTGGTTTCGACACTCGTCTTTCAATACGAAGACTTTTCCACCCCTTTTCCTCCTAAAACCTCGGCTCCGCACCGAGTGCATTTTCGAAAACCTCGGTCTCGTACCGAGTCCATTTTCAAACCATAATAAATTGATTTCTCTTTGTATCGAATTAAAGAGAGAAGATTGGGTGTAGACCTCTTCTTCTTCGAGTGTTGGGATGCCCACTGTAGTGAGGGTGGTCTCGATACTCGTCTTTCGATACGAGGACGCGACTTTACCCACCATCTCGCTTTCACAACTTCATCCCGCAACCCTTGTCACCTAAAACCTCGGTCCTGTACCGAGTGCATTTTCAAATCTTTTCATAACAAAAACTTGAATGGTCGTGGAGTGGTTAGGCGTAGGCCTTCTCCTATCCCGAGTGCTGACGTTTACCGTAGGGTTCTCTGTCGCAAAGCACTTACCATTCAAAACCAAAAACATCTTTAATAAGAGAACGAAGCTCTCTTTGCATTGAATTAAAGAGAGAGGATTGGGTGTAGACCTCTTCTTCTCCGAGCGTAGGGATGCCCACTGTAGTGAGGGTGGTTACGACGCTCGTCTTTCAATACGAAGACGCCTCGTTCGCCACACCTTTTTATAACAAAAACTTTGAGATAACGAATTGGGTATTACCCGTAGGGGTTACTATCCGAGGACCTGTCTCGCCCCCTAAAAACAATCCAATCAATCAAACTTGACTTCTTGCCCCGCGTGGCGAAAACTAATCAATCTTTCAAAAGGATATGTTACGTCCGTTCTACCGCAAACAGGTAATTCCTAAGTCTCCAACGAGCGAGCTGCAAAACACCTAACTGCTAGAATGCGCACGATAGCATCATCCGTAAAGACATCAACACACTGTCAGCACGAACTACGTCTGCTCTGATTTCTCATACCAGATGAGAATACGTAGGCATAAGACGGCGATGTCTTGGCGAGCACAATCCCCCCCTATCACCCGTAGTTCCCCGAACTACGTCGACTCTGACTTTCTCATATCTGTTGAGAATACGTAGACCTAGGACCGCGAAGTCCTATCGAGTCTGTTCTTTCTCTCTTTTTCCCCGTTACTTCTCTCTCTCTCTCCCATTTCTAACCCTTTTCTCCCTATCTTTTGGAACACTCTTTTATAGCATAATATTTAAGCAAATAAATTCACACATTGACAAACAAAAGGTTCCCATCGAGTACGATGGATGCGAGGGGTGCTAATACCTTCCCCTCGCATAACCGGCTTCCGAACCCAATCTTGGTCGCGAGACCATCTTATCCATTTATTTCCTAAGGTTTTCTCGATATTTTCCTTTCCCTTCATGGGATAAATAAAGTTCGGTGGCGACTCTTCTGTCTATCTTTTTCGCCTCCCCGTCGTTGCGCGATGCATTTTTCGAGTAGCGACACTCAGAATCTGGAGGTACAACATGAGGATCTTCAGTGTTGACAACAACATCACTATGAGTTTCAAGGAATGTTCCAACATCCTCTGTGACATTGGTTTCTTCATGTTGGTCATCAACAATAACATTAATGGATTCCATCAAGACTTTTGTTCTGGAGTTGAATACTCTATATGCTCTGCTGTTTGTAGAGTATCCCAGGAATCTGCCTTCATCACTTGTTAGCTCTGGAATTCCTCTCACTGCTTCCTTGGATATGATCTTTTTCATCCCTCTTAGATGAAGATGTCCAAGTTTCAATTTAACCTCCTTTTCTTCTTTGGCCATAATACAAACAGTGGAGTTATTTGAGACTTTAGGCTCCCATAAGTAGCAATTGTCTTTAGATCTAGATCCCTTCATGACTTCCTTATTTTCTCCATTTGTGACAACACATTCTTATTTAGTGAATTTGACATTGAATCCTTGATTACATAGCTGACTGATACTAATAAGGTTTGCAGCCAGTCCTTTCACCACCAAAACATTATCTAGGTCTAGAACTCCTGGACAATCTAGTTTTCCAACACCTTTAATTTCCCCTTTAGCTCCACCACCAAAGTTCACATAACTAGTGGAATGGGGTTTGATGTCCACCAATAAGTTGTTTATTCCAGTCATATGTTTTGAGCAGTCACTATCAAAATACCAGTCTTCTTTGGCTGATACCCTTAGAGAGGTATGAGTTATTAGAGCAACATCCTTAGCAACCCATTGTTGTTTCTTGATAGGTGTATCCTGTTTGGGTTTGACTTGAGGAGTGTGGCTGGGAAATCCATGCAGCCTGAAGCAAAAAGGCTTTATGTGTCCGAATCTTTCACAGTAGTGACACCTCCACCTTTGGAACTTTCTCTTTGTCTGGTTCATGCTTCTGTTCCCGTGATGTTGTGACATCGGTCTTGACATCCGATTTGACATATGATCTTCAGG